CCCCAAAACCCCAAAACCCCAAAACCCCTTTTAGGTTAGCAAAAATTGAAGACTTATTTCATAGTACTGGCAGTTTTGATCAAAGCAGGCCAGTCGAGTGGGACCAGAGGGATTTCAGCAGACCTGTTGGACTAAGAGGTTAGAAGGGAAGTTACGTTTGAAGCAGGTGATGCATGTGCTTTTATGATACTGATGATGCTCCAGGGATCGGACTCTTTGAGTAGTGGTTTTTGGAGTTTTGATAAGAAAGTTATTATTAATTTTGCGAAGAAATTCCAACCCTCTTTGAAGAAGTTGTCATAAAAATCACCCTAGAGAAGGTTAAGTTGTATATTACTGTAGCTGATAGAGGAATAGCTGTTCCAAAAAGAGTCATGATTACTTCGAATGAGAAAATAGACAGATCCGTCTCAGTTTCTTTGAATAATTTATTTAATTTTGGACAATTTTTCGCAATTAATCTGCTAATTTCTGCATTTATGTCCTCAATCCCTGTAAATCCTGCCTCATAGTTATCTCTGAGATTATAGTCAAACATGAGAGAGACCAGAAGCCAGAAGGCAATATCTGGAGATCAATGATATAATAAACTAGCTGCTATAAAGTTCATTCCCTGCACATATCCTCATTTGGTGTCATAAAGAGTGTATGCTTTTAAAACATTAAATAAAGTTTGTTTTGCTTCTGGAGGTTTATAGTACTCTTCAGTTGGAAAAGTCCGTGTTAAATCATTCTCAATACATACTATTAGATTAAAATAAGATTTTTTACCAGTAATGGGAATTCTGTCATCATTCTCAACTTCAGCTGACAACTCATTTTTCACCTTAGTATCAACAAGTTCTTGGAACACTTTCTGGTCTTTGTGGCTAAAAGATTTTGAGAATCCGTTAAAAGCATATTTTAGCCATTCTTCTGCTCTTATTCATCCGTTCAGAGTCGGATCTGTAGCTTTGCCACATGATCATCCATATGACTTGTTTTCCCCTGTAATTTTATGGGAATTACTTCCATATACATTAAAAGTTTTGGTGAGAATTCTCTCGCTGATTCCTGTCTCTTCAAGAAATGATTCCTTTTTATCTTCAAGGTCAACTTCTGCTTGAATAGAAGAAATTTCTGGCTCTTTCACCAAGTTTTGGCTTGGCCTACATGAAGTAATCGAAGTATTTCTGGTGGTTCTTTCTTCTTCCTTAATTTCTTCCCCTAATAACCTCGATTTAGAACAAACATTTGGCATCTTCTCAGTAAGGCCAAGTTTGTCCGCACTGATGTTTGACATAGTTTTGCCCAATTTCTAGAAATCACTTAAGAATCTACCTTCTTCTGTAAACAGTGTCCTTTAACTTGGAATTCAATTTTGGATATTTTCATTATATTAGAATTTTGCATGGCTCTTCAATCCTGACTCTCAAATAAGAATTTATTGGCCTTCTGATCCAAAAGAAAAAAGTTGCTGAGACTATTCCTTTCCTTAGTATGTCTCTTAGAAGGAGTGTTAGGTAAAATTATTTGTTTCTTAAATTGCTTTCTCCGATTTCCGTTTAAATTTCCAACAGCAGCTCCTATTGTTCTGATCCTATTCTTTCCTTTCGGAAGTACTGCTGCAGTGTCGAAGGGTGAAGATTCTGGTATATTTTCACTCATCTTCGCTTGCGGCTCTCTAAAAGACGCCAAATCTCTTCCTTGATTATTTTATTCTAATTGTGGTATTCTTGAGCTGATGGTCATTCAAAACATGATCTTGCTTATTTAGTCTTCCCATACCTAATAGTCATCATTGATAGCATTGTCTTGGGATTCGAAGACTTTGCCTAAACTGGATTAGCGACCTCAAACAGGTGCAAACCTACCATATTTATCCTATTTGGAGGCAGATTCGTCTTGGTCATACTGCCTATAATCTACCGAACTTGTACTTATCAGTCCTGAAGTCTGATGAGCTTTTGCGAGAAGAGAAACTGCTAAATTATACAAGATTTTTACCTTTCCGATTTGAAGAATTTCTTTGATGAGTTTACTAACCTCTTTTTATAATAAGTATTTTTCAGTTCCATTTTCAAGTAACAAGCTATTTGGGAAATTTTAGAACAATACGACAAATATATTTAGAAAAATATCAAGCATGTAAGGATCTATATAGTCGATAAAGCAATTCCAAACTGCACAAATGTCTCATACCTTTATGAAATTTAGTAATAATTAATCAATAGATAATAATTTAAATGGGGTTTTGGGGTTTTGGGGTTTTGGGGTTTTGGGG